CCGCGTGATGCCATTGCCACCCGCTGGGCGGGCAGGGTATGTGGGGCGTACTGACTATGCGGCACATCCCCAGCCCACCCAGCAGCAGGAGACACACTGGGGTTGGACAGCTGAGCTCCTGGGGCAAAACAGAAGGGCACAGAGCCCCAGCCCACAGCAGGCAGCCCACCTCTGTCTCATGGGGGGCACATGCCCACATGCCTTCCCTGGGGCTGTGCACTTCTGTGGGGAGCCGTGCCCCTCCCTGGGACCTCTGGATGACCAGCCCCAGCTGTGGGGCCCCATTCACCCCAAGCCCTGCTCCTGCTGTACTCCCTCCTGCACCACGGGGCCCTCAATCCTCCCCCCACCCCTTCCCTCTCCCCCTGCCCCTTTCCCTCCACTTATTAGCTAGGAAAATCCAGAGATCTGAGGGTTGGATCGGGAGATCATGAGTTGGAGTTATTTTGACTTTGAAATCCTGAGTCTTGCAATGGTTTCGCGACAGTTGGCATTACTGTGTTAGGCTGAAGAGGAGTATTGTTTGGTTTTCATCAAAGATAATAAACTGAGCCAGCATACCAACTGAATGCTATAATTCAGCCTAGTTGTGGCCTGTGTTGCAATTCTTGAGGTTTTGGCTCAGGTTTTAGACTTCTAATGGTTCTGGAACCAGGGGAACCAGCTTGTTACTTAAATGCTTGTATTACTCTTGGTTTCCCACATTACTTGAACACATAGTCTACTTGTACTCTAAGAGGACAATGGAATCAGGCACTGCCTGTATTTCACTTTGTAAACTGTGTGTTGCCAGAGTTGTCACAGTGAGTAGGGAATTGCACTGTATTTTTAATTTTACACTTTTTCATAGGCTGTCTCATACATCCCCTTCTCACTTGTAAAAGCACATGTACAAATGCTCTGTAAATGTGTGTGTAAGATTATTTTTTCCCCTAAAGTTCTAAGATCCATCCATGGTTTAGGGAAGTTATGTTAAGGAGTGTGCGCCCAGCAGTAAATGACTCTGGCAACAGACTATTTACAAACTGAAATGCAAATGATTTTGCTGTCCTATGCCATATAATACAAGGAGAATATTAAGTTGGTGTATAATGCTGCCACTTTGATTTACAGATAATTTGTATTCAGGACAAATTGACAAACAGCAAACAAGGCCCTTCAAGTCATGAAAGTGAGTTTAGCAAAATCCCATGGTTTAGCAGAACCTGAAATACAACAGCTCTCCTTCCCTTTCATTTTGCTGTTCTGTTTTCCTCAATTAGATTTCCACTCTAATATCTTTGTTTTCTAACATTTGAAACAATAGAAATGAACCCATGGCCCTGTTGCTAGGTTTCAAGCTGATTTTATGCCGCCAACTGAGTCACTATTTTCATTTTTGAATTCTGAATTAAGTCCTGAGGCAAAAAGGATCCTGTTTCTTAGCAACACAGATGGGCAGATTATACATTCCAGCTCTTTTGTACAACAGAAGAATAAACAGCTCCTGGAATAAACATGTGCTGCAAGTTCATCTGTTTGCTTTGCTTTCCCGGGCCTGGTGCAGAGGAGAAGGCTGGCTGTGTGATACAGCATGTGAAGTTTGTCGGAAAGAACTGACTTGAGAGAGTGGTAAGCGATGTCTTTTAATCTTTTCTGTCAAATGCCTCTCTGGAGTTGCACTGTTGTTGTCACTGCCTGTATTCACCTGGGATTTAGGTACTTCTGTTTCTAAGACACAAAAGTCAAGTGTGCAGATGGTAATAGTGTTGACAGGGTTAGCAAACGTGTGATCTTTTTCTTTTAGTGTTTATTGTAATCCCAAATTTTCCCCTTGGCCCACTTAAAGCTTGAAAAAGAGGCTTTAAAAACTCCCTGGCTGTAATACAAAGCCTGGGGAGTCCCTAAAAGGGAGGAGCACATTGGTAACCATTGTACAATATTTATAAATCATTGAATAACTATGCCAGTTTCTCATCTTGAAACAAATTACCCACCACCTTCCCAAAATAAGCAGCCATGTTGCAGACTCACTGCTTGAAGCTAGATGCTTCAGCTTTGTCTACTGGACAGAGAGCTGGTTATTTTGACTGTGTACTTGGGCCAGGGTTTGCTTCTGACTAAATAGGCTGTCACCTGTAAAACATTATGCCTTTCTGAACAAGTTAGTCTCTAAACCCATTTATAGATACTATGTTTTCCTAGGTATAATCCAGACTACAGCAGTTGCTATATACACATGGACATCTGTACTCGGAATTACAATTGGCACCATTCTGAATTACTAATCCTCATCGAATGAGGATTAAAATGAGTACAGGTTAGGGCAATCTGAATTAAGCAATTTAAACTGTATTTATTTATTTACTTATTTACACACACACACACACACACACACACACACACA